TTTGATTTTTTGTTATCTTATAGTGTATTCAATTCTCTATCCAATGGTACCAAAAACATGAAGAAGTGCCCATCCCTTCATGTATTATAGGGCCGGGATTCATTGGACTCAACGGTACTTCTCCTAAAATAAATACCCGCTGCACTGAACCGTCCTCTTACCATTTTTTATTTTTACCATTTTGACGATCCTCAATTCACCCCAACATTAAAGTGCTTTTCTCTCGACTAGCTTATTAAAAAGTTATTTCCGATTAATCATTAAATCTGCTTTTTTCAGCAAATACAAAATTTATTTTTTTCTTCTTTTCTTGTCAATTTGTCCTGTTTTTCTCTCCGATTTATCCTTAATTTTGTTTATTTTTTTTTGTCTTTTTTATTCACTGCAATTCTTTCTTATTTTTTTTCTTTTTCATTGCGCGCAATTTCCGTCGAGCCATGAGATTCGCCGATAGGTACAATTAATTTACGCGGTGTATAGCCCCCTTCACTTTGTACAACATTCACATTCCCAATTTTTTCCAATCTTCACATTCATTCACAAGTAGGAATGCTAAAAATACTACAACGTATTACTTTTTTCATTTATTTAATCTTATAAATTACTTTTATTTTATTTGAGTAATTCTGATTTAATTCTGATATTCCCGGAAAATTAGAAAAGAGTTGTTTCTAAATTCGTTTAAGGATTCTGGTTCTTAATTCTGGTTATTTAAGATTCTGATCTTCCGGATTCTAATTTTAAATTCTGATTTCTTCGGATTCTGATTTTAATTCTGATTTTTTCAGATTCCGATTTTAATTATAATTATTTAAATTCTGATTTTTTTCGGTTTCTGATTTAAATTCTGATTTCTCAAGATTCTGATTTTTAATTCTGATTATTTAAATTCTGGTTTTCCGGATTCTGATTTTAAATTCTGATTTCTTCGGATTCTGATTTTAATTCTGATTTGTAATTCATTTTTCCGGATTCTGATTATTTAAATTCTGATTTTTTGTAAACTAAGAATTTTAAATTCTGATTTTTTGTAAACTAAGAATTTTAAATTCTGATTTTTTTACTACTTCACTCTTAAGTTTAAAAATAAATTCTGATTTTTCCGGAAACTCCTATTTCTGTTAATTTAATTCTGTGTTAATCTATAATTTTCCTCCTGTATTTATTACGTACATATATTATTTTTCAATTATTTCTGTTTATAATCCGGTTTCTTTGTACACAACCCATTTATAATAAATATCAACAATAAACGCCCAGTTCCAACTAAAAATATCTAAATAATAAAAACAATTTTTTCATTCTCTGTTAGCAGCATTTTATAATAGTATTAATAGCTGGACAAAAATGCGCGTAAAGAAGGCTTTTCTCATTTTCACGCCTTTCCTTTCTTTTCATTTTAGATTTTCTTTTCTCACATTTTTCATAAATAAGCGTTAAAAGCTGAAATTTATTTATTTTGAGATATTCCAAGATTTATTGGATTTTCCTTCATGATTTGACGCTTTTCTGTCCTTTTTTCAGAGTTCCCATGGAGGTTTATACTAGGGATGCCAGGGCTATACGAAATCTGACACCCGAAATCCGAAACCCAGGCAGTTATTCGATCCGAAATTCGGAACCTGAGCAATTTTTTCAATAAGAGGTTCGAAACCCTGGACAATTTTCGATCCAAAATCCGATACCAGACTCGAAAAATTTTCGAAAACTCTATCTTAAAACTAGCCGTCCTTTGTTCTCTACCCGTGGCATCCAAGGTTTTTAAACATTTTGGGGGCCCGGTTCGGTCCGAAGGATCGAGTCGGGCATCGAATATTGGTCTAAAAAAGACTCGGTCGGACCGACCCGATAAAATTGAGGCCCGAAAAAAATGACGCGGATGTCGGGCCGACCCGAAACCCCCAACCCTATTTTTAATTCCTCCTCTAGTTTTTATTTTATCTTTTTTTGCAACCCCCAATTTTGTTTATTAGATTAATTTTTTTCCTCTTTTTCCTCACCCCTTAATAAGGAGTCAAAGTTCAATAGATAGGAAAGAGAAGGTCAGTCAATACATAAACAGTAGGAAGAGAAAAAATTTCAACAAAACGCCTCCACTGTTAAATTAGTGCAAATAAAAAGTGTGATTCACCCCTCATTAGGCAACCATTTTTCTGCTCTCTCTCTTTGCCTACGTTCACATAGTTTACCGCAATTTATCTATTGAACTTGTGCGAACACTCTTTCCATTTAATTTTTATCATTTGTGTCATTTCCATATGATTTATTAATAAAAAATATTTTTTACACCAATTTTTTGCAAATGTAAACAAATTTAGCTTGAAAATGTGTTCGATAATTTTAGCAAGCCTTTTTTTGATCGTTTCATAATTTTTTGAAAAAATTTTTTTATTAACCTATTGATTTATGCCCTTCACTTTAGCCTTCCGTTCCCTTTCCCCTACCTTCCTTTTTCCCAAAAAATTTATTAGACCAAGGAATCTATCTTCTGTTTGTTCCTAGAATTTAAGTGTTCAGGCCTGGTCTAATGTTGGCGGATCCAGATCCAAAAAAATGACCGGATACCCGAAAATTTCCCAGGATCCGCCAATATTTTTCCAAAAATTCATGTTCAGGACTAGAGACCGGACCGATACAAGATCACTAAAATAACGGGTATCAAAAATCGAGAATTTTCTTCTTAATTTTCTTCTTACCCCCTCCACCCTGTTGAGAGCGGGAATTTCAGTGTGTCCTGTTGAAGGATGCAGGTTCAGTGTGCCCTGTTTAAGAATGGAAGTTCAGTGCGGCCATTCCAGTCTGCTGGTATTCATGCCTATGGTCCCAAGTACCCTTCTCTTATACCCTTCCTTTTCCCTTCCCCGCCTTTCCTTTTATTGCAATTTTAATTCGCCCAGTTCAGCATCTCAATAAAATTTATTCTCAATTTAAATTTTGAAATTTTTTTCATTTTTGATCTTCAAAAAATTTCTGTTCCTCCACTTTTTTTATTTCAATTATTATATTTTATCTTTTAATCTTTTTTTAATCTTTTAGACATAACAAATATTACACAATATATTTTCAACTAATTTAAATTTTTTGTTCATCAGACTACGTTAAACAACAAAATTTGTGCGTCACATGGTCGAGAACTGGAAATGAGCATTTGGGGACTTTGACTGGATTTGTTGGCATTGTTGGTTTTTTATTTTTTTTTTAATTTTTTTATTTTTGTTTTTTCTGTTTTTTCTGATTTTTAATGATCTTTTACTCTTGGGGAAGGAATTTTTTAATTATTTTATAGTACAGCAAAAATGTGAAAAATAAGTATCTGGGGGGATTGTCTATTTAATAGGTGCGAAACGGGGCGTTGAATTTTCACTAAGCTTTAGTATTTTCATTTTGTTTATTTTCTTAAATGTTCAAACAGACTTTCCATAAGAGATTTGGGGACCTAAAACTACAGGATTTGTGACACTTTTTGAAGTATTTAACTTTTGTTCTCCATTCACTGTTTTTTCCATTCATTGTCTTTTGTCTCCAAGTCCGGCTAATTAAGTGCGGGAGTGGCCTGTTTCACTGCGCCTTCAATACTGCACTTACCGTATTTCTTCTAATAGTGCGTCTCTCTGTTTGACCGACCCCTTCTAATAAACTAACCCCTAAAGCAGAGGTGGGTTGAGATGCCGATTTCCGAAAAAATTTTGATTTCCGAGCTCCGAATTTTAAGCCAGTTCCGATTTCCGGCTCTTCCGATTTCCGACACCTCTGACTGTTCCGATTCACCTTTGCCCTAAAGGAAAGTTTAAAAATAAACCGACCGGTCGCACTATCAGAAGAAATACGGTATCTGTTCTATCTCACTAGTTCACTTTTAGTCAATTACCTTTGTTTTCATCTGTCTTGATTTGATTGTCTTTAAATTTGTTTTATTATTTTTCTAAATTCATTTCCAAAAATATTTTTTTATTTTTTTTTATTCCCACCTTCCTAATTTAATCAATCATTTAAAACCTCTACATAAACAATTTACCGCAACCTCTACCTATTTAATTCATTTTTACAACCTAAACATTCCTTTTTAATCTAAACAAAACACACAAAAACATGTTTTTAAATGTCCTTGAGGTTTCTAAAACCATAAAAAATCATTTTCTTGATGAACATTTTACTATTTATTCAAAAAAATTTTGGTAAAGACCCTTGGAAATTTTTTAATAACTTTAAGATTAACAATATCGTCTTTAACAGGCCTGTTGCGAGCGGCAATTTTGGTGCGCCTCTTTGAGGGTGGAATTTAAATGTGGACATTTGAGAAAAAAAAATTACGTGAGGCCTGTGAATTCAAGAATTTCAGTGTGTCCTGTTGATGAGGGATTTTAAGTTCGCCCATTTGAGTGTTAGACTTTCAGTGCGCTCTATTGAGAACGAAAATTTCAGTGCGGCGATTTGATAGCAAGAATTTTAAAGCTAGTTAAGTGTGGAATTTTATTTTTTACCTTTGGACTTGATGACCATTTTGTACGTTTTAATTAAAAAATAGTGTAGGGGGAAACGAAAGTAGTACCGCCATTTGAGTTGGGGATTTTGAGTTGCCATTTTGAGAGTTCTTTGAGAAACTTTTTTTGGTCTCTGTCATCTTTGTTTTTATTTTTAACATAAAATTGATTCTTTTAATAAATCACTAACCAATTTTTTGACACATTTTTAGCCAAAACTTTTTAGGCTATTATAAAACACAAATCTTTTCCCTCTAAAATTTATTTCTCGAGATTCTCTCAATATTTATTTTTTTGTTTATGTGTACAGAATTGCTCTAAAAATTTTATTTTTAGTTAGTGAGTTTGTGAGGGAAAAGCGGGTACAGCCCAAACGGGCGCATGGCCATAAAGGCGCAAAGCCATAACTTGGTTGAAAATGTCTGGCCATTATCAATTTTGCTACCAATCTCCTTTAGCTCGATGAGAGGAATCTTTTAATACTAAATTTGGTAGGATTGGTAAATCTTGAAGCAAGTTATGGCTTTGCGCCGTTATGGCCGCGCGCCGTTTTGGGCGTATCCCAGGGAAAAGCGACTGCTGCTTTTTTGTTTATTTCTTAACTTTGCCTGCTTTTTTTCTTCTCTTTTTGCAACACACTTAAAGCTTTTAGTTTATTCTTTCTTCAATTTTTGCTTTTTCTTGTCCCTTCTCGACCGAAATTTTTTTTTGTTTTGGTCACGCCAAAATTATATAGGGTCATCAAGTATAGAATTAAATTTAGTTAGTCGATGGTCTTATAGTTTATATTTATTTTTTGTGATTCTTTGGCCTTATTACCTCTAATTTTCTTTTTTTCTGTTATAAATTAGATATATATATAATTAATTTTTTGGTTCGAATGTCGAGAAGATAAATGCCCCTTTTAATGCTCAAATATACCTAGTCGAGGTTGTCTATCGACTTTTAGGATATAAGTGTTCCTTCGCGGTACATTTCAAGCCCGAGTAGGCACAAAGCCATAACTTGCTTCAAGATTTCCGAATCTTATCAATTTTAGTATTAAACGATTCCTCTCAACGAGCTAAAGAGGTTGGATCAAAATTGATAAGGGTCAGAAATTTTTAGGATAGTCCCTACCCCACTGACTTGCTTATTGCATATCAGGAGTGTGCTGTTAAGTCTTTTGATAGATTTAGGCCTTTTGCATTTTTTTTTAAATTAATTTTCGCATTTTTACCTTTCGTGTTTTTTATTTTAAAATCAGTTTTGGCATATTTTTGTTGGATATATTTTCACAAAATACCCTTCCAGTGTACTTCCTTCTTCACTGTAATCGAGTTGACTTTCATTAATTTACTGTCAGTTAAATTTTTAAATTCTCGACTTTAATTGTTTAACGTTTAAATACGGTATTTCTTCTAATAGTACGACCGGAATGTTTATTTTTCAACCTACCTCTAGAGGCTCAGTTTATTAGAAGAGTATGGTCTAATAGAAAGAGTCGCACTATTAGAAGAAATACGTATATTTATTTTTGCTTTTTTGAACAATTTTTTCTTAAATACTTATCAATGTTACCCAGCCAATCCTTAATTTTAAACGGACCTTTTTCATTAAAAATGTCTAACTACACAATTAATTTAATTTCTAAATTGGGTTCTTCAAGATCAATCAGAAAAATCTCTTTTTTCTTCTTATTTTTATTTATTCATCCCCATTCAGCCGACCAATTTCTCCCTTCATCCAAAAAGCAGAGGTCATTTTTTGCTTTTCGTGTTCCCAATCTTTTTTTAAAGATCTTGTCAATTTTTAACGACCGGCTTCAACAAAAAAATCCTTCGCTTTTTATTTACACTAAAATCTTTTTTAAAAGCTTTTGGTATTCGCCAGCTTCTCCCCCCCCCCCCCTTCCCCATTAATTTTGGATTGCTCTCGGCGACGTTTTTTCTACTTAAATCTTTACTGATTTTTTTGTGCTCAACAACAGCGGCGTTGACACTAATCCTTACCCTCGGTTGTCCATCACTTTGGGTATTCACAAAAAATTTTTTTTGCTTTTTTGCACTGTCAAAAATATCCTAACATTAGGGGGATATTTGTACTATTTTTTAATGCCCTCATTAACAAAAATAAATATTTTTTGTTTCTATTTATATCCAAAAAGTAACCATGTCTTTATCCTGCTTCTCTTTTGCTTCATCGATAACTTTGGCGCTTCTAAGAGCTACTTTACGGATCAAGTTGTGGATGAGATATAAGGCTTTGATTAACGGGAGACTGTTTGATCCTAGTACTTTCTATCTTGAGATAGGCTAAAATACTGTATTACCTCTAATATGTAGAATGCCTCCCCCATCCTCAATGCCCCTCCCAATCTTACCTCTGAATTCCCCCTCTAACAGAATACTCCTTGGGAGGCAATTGGAAAGTAGAATGTACGGTCATCCTACTAGAGCTAATACGGTAGCTTCCATCAAATTAACTCAAGTAAAGCTTACTCTCTTCACTATTTTATGCTGGAGACCGCACCGTGTCGAATCTCGAGCAAAATCTTTGGTTATCGAGATCGAGCTTTTTCTATTTATCGATCTCGATTCTCGTACAACCCCTCGCAGCTCTACTTTATACGGTTCCGTGACTTTTGCGCCGAGAACATTTGCGCCGCGACTTTTGCGCCGAGAACATTTGCGCCGCGACTTATGCGCCGCGACTTTTGCGCCGCGACTTATGCGCCGAGCGACTTTTGCGCCGGGGGACTTTTGCGCCGCGACTTTTGCGCCGGGCGACTTTTGCGCCGCCACTATCATTAAAAATATATCAATAACTACAGCCGGACCTCACTTTAGTAGGGTTGTCGAATAGTAGGAAATCTTCGGATCTGATATCCGAACTGAAAATTTAGGATATCCGGCATTTTTCGGATCCGGATTTTTTAAACAATGGCGGCGCAAATGTCGCGGCGCATAAGTCGCCCGGCGCAAAAGTCGCGGCGCAAGAGTCGCGGCGCAAAAGTCGCCCGGCGCAAAAGTCGCGGCGCATAAGTCGCGGCGCAAATGTTCTCGGCGCAAAAGTCGTGATACCCTTTATACTAATGCAATTAATATTTTTTTAATAACCATGCATTATCTCCTCAATTAATAAAATTCTGTTTATGGTTTATTTTTATTTGCACAAATCCTCTTATTTTTTTACAAAATGCTTTTAAGCTTTCATTTGCTAAATTTGCGCAAGCTTTAAAAGCATTAAACTTTGGATCTGTAATCTATTTTTTTGCAAAAAATCTGTTTTTATTTAGTTTCTTTACTGCTTATTTTGTTATTAAGATTTTTAAGTCTACAATACTGTATCAAAAGACCAGCCTATTAGAATTGTATAAATATAAGGGTTGGAGTTTTCTGGGAACTCTTAAGGTACCCGAAGCTGGCATGCACGAAATTCTCTTTAGTTTTTTGTTTGGTTTGTTTCGTCACACAAAAGTTTAGGGTTTATGCGTATTAGATCCTATCCGAAACCTATATCCTAACCGTATATTTGGGATATCCGGCTTTTCAAGTTCCGGATATTGGGAACCAAAAACTTCATTGTATCAAGGATTTTCCATTTCGCGTGTTTCATTTTTCGCTTTTTGCATACTATAGAGCGAGCTTGATCTGGATCCAGACGTTTATTTTTCCTGGATCCGGAGTTATTTTTCAGAGTTTTTTGAGTTTTCCTTGACTCAAGGTCAAGATTAGTTTTTGGATTTTTTTCACCTTATTACGAATTTGAAAATATTATTTCAATTGTTATTTTTTAGTACTACATATTAATTACTTTATTTGTACAACAACTCTAAAACCTACCTCTCTATATTTTTTATTATCTTTTGTTTAGTACATAAATATTTTTTACAAAAATTTTTTTTAATTTTCTTTGTTTACTTCATTCTTCAAAAAACGTTTTTTTTATTATTTTACTTAATATTTATTTTTCCTTTTTTATAAAATAATATTTAACAAAGGAAAAATATGGCGAGAATTCGCGCATTGAAAAATGAATAAAAAAAAATTTTGTACGGCGCCGTCAAACTACTACTATAGCGTTATACCTTTTCCTTTGCTGAATTGTATATCTTATTTTTACTACTTCCTCTAAAAATCATAAAAATTTATGCAATAAAAATAAATGCTTTTTTGGAGGGAATTTTGTAGGAAATTTTTGTAAATAAAAATAAAATTGTCAACAAGTGTAGGTTACTGTTTATAAGTACAGGACTGGGAATCAGTGCTGGATATTTGGCATTTTGTTGGCTCCGGGGTTTTCAAATTCTTGACTCCGGCTCCGAGGCCGGCGATTTTCGGAGCCGCTCCATGCCCCTCATGTTAGCTCCGGGTTGAAAATAGATGAATTATTTTTCATTGGGAGATTTGGGTAGATTATTGGAGATATCGAGTGATATAAGCTGATTATGAGAGATTAATGGATAAAGCGGGATTTGGGTGGATTAAGAGTGGTATCGCGGGATTTGATTGACTAAGAGGCAAGATCCCTGTTCTATCTGTCTGTTTAAAATTCTTAAAGCTATATTTTGAATTATTTTTTTACTATTTTTCAGATTTTTAAATTATTAATTTCACAATTGTTTTTAATTGTCTAAATTTTAAAATTAATTTTTTTTCTAAATTTTTTTTTATTCTTTGGTTATTTTGTAATTTTTAAATTTTATCAGACATTAGACTTGTTAATTATTGCGTATTTCTGAGAAATTTTGTTTCCTTTCATTAAAAATATTTCCTCTAAAAATTTCTCCTTATAAGCTCTCACGCTTTCTCTCATTTTCTATTCTTTTCTTTACCAGGTTGGAAACAAAAATTTGGAATAAATTTTATCCTTTCTCTTTTTTGTGTCGAGACTTTACCACGTGTCACGTGGTTTATTGCCTAATCAGACCTTCCTAGCTTTCTGGAAAATTTTTGAGCTTTTAAAATAGAGTTCCTCGTACCCCGACGATTTTTTTGTCAAAAACCCCGACCCGAACCCCGAAGTCACTACCTCGGCAATCCCGATCTACTTTAAAAGCTAACATTTGTTTCATTTTCTTAATTTAAATTTGATTTTAGAATCTTACTGTAATTCCTAAAGTAATTCCTATCCTATCCAACCCTAAAATATAGCCCCTGAGAGATAAATATCCCCCAGGTATGGACTGTATTCCGCTTCCGCCTTACACTAATTTCTACATTTTTGACTATTCCAAATCAGCGTTTCGTTTGCCACATTCATTTTTTCTCTGTTCTTTTGTCTTCCATCTTCCGATTTTTTAAAATGCATCAGAGCGACATCTACTCCTCCATAGTCCTCAAATTCGCCTTCAGTCTCTGAACCAGTGGCCAACCAAATTTTAAAAGATTTTTATGATTTAGTCTCCGGTGTGAGCTAGTTGACTGTATTTCAAAACTAATATTGGCATATTAATTGTTGTTAGGCAACAATGTTTTAACTAATGACAGCTGCTATCTCAACTTGCTTTCAACTTAACTAACGCCTGTTTGTTTTTACTTCCTTTTAAGGCTCTAATACATAAATTAATTTTTGGAATTTACACAGATTTTTTTAATTTTTTATTTACCGTATTGTCTCTAATACAAGCCCTGGGCCTCTATTTTTTAATACCCCTCATTGGGTGGGCTTCTATTAGGGCATGGGCTTCTATTGGAGATGGGCTATTAGAGACAATACGTATATTTTTTCCTTCAACATTTTCTTATTTTTTGTTTTAATTTTTTTTCATTTCCGCCAGCCACCACAAGTAGTAATTTTTTTTTGTTAGCGCAGCGGCACATCTGTGGCTTTTATTTTTTCTTGTGTTTTATTCTCGACATTCTTTTTTGTTTTATATTCTTTTTTTTATTTATTTTATAGTTCTTTTTTCATTATAAAGGGCAAGCTTTGAAGCTAATTCAAAGGGCAAAAGCTTTCTATGTTATATAAAAAAAATTTTTGTTTATATCAACTAGAAGGCACGGAACATGTGCATGTTTTTGTGGCTTTAATGCCATTTCTTTTTTTTGTGTCAGGGCAACACACCGTCCTACCAAAATGCCTTCCATACATTAGTGTAGAAATTTCTATTTCACTTGGGATTTTAACAAATTTTAAAATAAAATTTTTATTCAAAAGCATATAGTATTAACTGGGTTCACCCCCAAGGTACCACAGAGCTATAACTTCCTGAATTGTCGAATCAAGGATGCTCTGCTATGGCGTATCGAGCCCGTTCCAATTCGAGAATTCTGAACGAGGTAATAGCTCCGTGGTTAAGGTCTCAAGATATTAAGGGAGCCCACTATCGACGCAAATCTAATTTATTAACTGTACAGTTGCACGGTCTTGTTTTTTCCAATGTCCGAATGGTGTTCTGGTTGGACGGTGGTTTGCTCCCCTTTTTTCTTTTAATTTTTTTTGACTTTTTGCCATGTTTACTACTTTTTAACTTTACATATGTTGACTTTATATTATAGTAGCTGGAAGTAAAAAAACGTGTTGTTGTGAGCTAGAGACAAAATGCCATATTTTTTGTGGGGGAGCTGGTTGAAGTAAATAAAAAGGGACACTGAAATGGGGGAACTAAAAAGTGTCTAGAGAAATAAAAAAAATTAGTATTTAAGATAAAAGGGTGGTAGTAACATGAAACAAGAAACCTTTCAACCTGTTGCTTGCATTTTTTCCATATGCTGCTTCGTTTTTCTAGTAAAAATTTATTTACATTCTCATTATTAGTTTCATTAATTATTAAAATTATAGTCAAGTTTTAAGCGTGTATAATACAGTCAAATCTCATAGTAAGCAGAGATCGAGATTTTTGAAAAGCCTGGGCCTGTTCCTGGGTTCTGGGTTTGAGCCTGTGT